CTGTTCCGAATGTCACTATTCCGGACCATGTCGAGACGCTTAAGGCCAGCGACTCGTCTGAGAAAGCCCATTTCAGCATCTTGCACCCAGGTTCGAAGTTTTTCAGTGATGGTCCACGTATCATGACCGTAGGTGAGCATGGGAATAAAAATCGACTGGAACACCGAGAGCTTAGTTTTCAGAATGAGCTCTGATTTAGTTACAACGGGTCGGGCTAGTTCACGCAGAACGCTACTGGCTACTCCATTTCGCCGGTCGATCTCTTCTTCAAATTTTCCATCACTAGTAAATACGATTCTGAGGTACTTGAACATCTCCACCTGCTCCACTACCTCTCCGTTAATATGAAGAAAGCAGCGGGTAGGAAAGCGAGAAAGCACTAGGCTTTTCATTTTAGCTGCGTTCACACGCATGCCGGTAACGTCGCAGTCGGCTGTGAACTATTCTAGAGAGCACTGTAGATCAGTTTCAGCATATCTGATCTTATCAGCTCTGTGTTCGTGTAATCTGTGTCAACCAGAGCGTTCAAACGCACATGGCGTATTCGTTTTCTGCTTGGTATGGGTTTGTTTCTCTGCGGCATGCATGAGTACTGGTAGAATAGCTGCCAGATCAACGCGGAATTTCATTGTCTTACTCACCACAATTTTCGAAAGTTTTTGACAGTTTGTTATGAAAAATTCGCGCCTTTCTGATTCTTTCTTGAACACCTGCATAATAGGTTCCATTAGTGCTTCCCGCTGCTTACGAATACTTAACATGGTTGTTTATCGCGCATTTTGAACCTTTTGCATGGTAAGCCCAGTTGGTTTACTGACAGTATCCTAGCCAGCTAACTAGTGACATTTTGGCCATGACTCTTTTTAAACGAGTTCGTATATGCGTTGTACAGTTGGCTTCTTTCATCCGGTAGCTATTGGTTCTTAGAGTAATATTCCAGACGTCGGCCCTTGAAATGATTTGTTTTTCAGGATATTTCAGAGTCAAGTGGTTTGCCATTTTGGGAACCGTCTTTGGTAACCATCACATTTAAGTAGTCGAATAGCGTCGTACAGCAAACATCATTCAGTTTACTTTCATTGTTTAAGGAAATACTGCAAAATGCAAGCGGGAATCTTAGCTTTCGTAGTGTTAAGTGCCGCTATGTCAAACATCATGTTTTGAAGTTCTGGAAATCGCTCATAATGCTGCTCATTGTCAGTACAGACCAAAAATTTCCACTGTATCTCATCGGTAATGTGTATCAGCAAATGTTGATTTACATTGGAATTGAGCGCTTCGCTTTGTTTGTAGTTTTAAAGTACAGCGAGCACTGTTTTTTAATACGGCATATTTCAGCACTTTAGTGAACAAATCGGTCGAGGCCGATGGTTCCAGTAGCATAGCACTTCTTCAGGTTACTACGGGATAAAGTTGCTTATACTAGTTGTTGGTTGAATCAAAACTCCCGCAGTTGTCATACTGAAAATCTTTCAGGTCGGCGTCATGTGCTAAAAGCAAAATTGAAGTCTTTAATGGTTAAGCGGCTATCTCTCAGGTTAATACATGACAAGCATAACAAGCCTCCCATGGTGCATACTCTGTGTAAGGTCTACTGTAGAATGCGGACAGAAACGTAAGTAGCAGTTTATCATGTTTATGAACTGGTATTTAGATAGATAGATTGACGGCTTGGTTTATTTTCACGACTTGGAAATTTATTAGTACGTTAAAAATTATCGACTTATTTGACCCACGCAGATAATTTTAGCTACTGGCTGCGGTCATAACAAGTTCCAGTGCAAGACGACAAAGAAATGCATTTTGTCGGATTGGGTGTGCGACCACGAATTTGACTGCGGGATGAACGACACGTCTGACGAGCACGAGAACTGTGGTTGGTTTCGTCATCTTTCTTTTAGAAAAAACATCGAACACATGCTTTAGAATATCCAACCTGTCAGCCTGATCAGTACACTTGCTTCAACAAGCAGTGTATTCCGCTGATCTACGTATGCGATGGCGACAAAGACTGCAGAGACGGATCAGACGAAGTGCACTGTGATTTTGGTTGCGTTTACGGCGAGGAGTTCCGATGCAGTCCGACCAGTTCATGCATCAACATCCTGTACAAGTGTGACGGCTATCCAGACTGTTCGGATGGTTCTGATGAAGAAAACTGTGGTTCGCACTCATATTTTTTGTCTCGGTGATCAAGCATCTTAATTCGTTGCTTGCTTTCAGCTATCCTGAATGGAAACTGCACACTGAACCAGTTTCAGTGCGAAACATCTAACCAGTGTATACGCTCGTTGTTTCGTTGCGATGGCGATCGCGACTGCGCGGACGGTTCCGATGAAAAAGGCTGTGGTGAGTTATGTTTTCAAGTCTCAGGTCTTAGATCGTGTCAGTCTCGGTTAACTGTTACTCAGAGTGACTGTTTTAGGACCTTGTTTTTGGCAGTCTGCCTGTTTTGTTTCTTTCCGCGTTTGAGTTCCTGTCGGATCAGTGAATTTTTTTTCGTTCCAAGGTTGGTAAATGAGTACCATTCTGTGGGAAGGAAACAGGAGGCTGAAATTACATTCCATATTTGTCAGCTCTGTATTTAAAACATGGAATTCTTGGTTGGTGCGTAAAAATCGAAATCAGAACCTCACCATTAAGTTAATGAAAAGAAAACCATTAGAAATGGCTTCATCTTAAAATTGTAAGGAAGACCAGCATTCCAACGATTGCATAGTTTCCTTCCTTCCTTCATTTCTTTCAGCTATTTTGCTTAGAAGCTTCATGGCTCAATTTTCTGCTATTCTGATCCAGAAATTTGTTTCTTACGAAAAAACCTCGACCTGGCACATTCTTATCCACTTAAAAGTTCGTTCTGTATTTGCGAAATGATCGTCTTTTCGGTCATAACGTTGTTATCAAAATTCACTGTAAGTGTAAACATTGTGCT